AAAATCGGCATTATTTTATCCCACTTCTGACACCAATTGTTACGAGCTTGAGGTTCGTGACAATAAAAATTGCCGATAAAATTACCTAAATTAACACTTTAATTTACTTTACACAAATTAAAGCTAAAAACACTAATGATTAAACACACTAATTCACTTTATTCCGCTCCGAAGCTTCGCTTGTTTCGCCAAATCAACACTACTTCGATCGCATCTTTCAGCGCCTACTTATATAAATTAGCAAAATATCCAGAATGTTCAAGTAAACACGCGCAAGGTACCGAGAGTTCGAGTTTTAAACTTCAAGAAGTTTAGTTCTTCGGTTCGAGACTAGATGGCGCTAGTGCGCCGATTTGAGGCATTGGAGCGCGTAACAATAACTTTGTGGTCAATATCTACAAAACGTTAACAGTGACGATTTTTACTTTACAATTTGCTACACTACAGTAAGCACCAACAACTTTTAAGGGTATGATTTTCTTAGTTGTGTGTAATATATTGTTAACAAACGGTTACGAGTTGCAACAAAAGGGCACATGCGTACGTGGAACCTATTTTGTTACCAAGGTGTCCTGCCCAAAGACGATCTACGAGCTGCGTCCCAAAATCTCACATAAAGCGTTTTTGAAATCCGCCGTCACTTTAAATTATTTATTTTATACTTAGAGCTTAGCTTGATTGAGACGACATAAAAATCTTGAACAATGGAGAAATTTTGTATATTTAACTCATTTTTGACCGTTTGAGGTTCGCCCCTTTACGGGGTAGGCGATGAATTGTTGCATGAAGAGTTCACCTAGGTAATTAACAGTTTTAATGCATTGCAAATAATTTGAATATTTTGTGAGTTTAAAAGCTACACTTCCTAATATTGTTATTAGAGAAGCCACGAATAGTGAATTTGCCGATTACTGAATATCCAGTCACGCTCTTAGTAAATGTTCGGCGCTTCAGTAGATAACAATTTCTGATATTGTTTTGAGGAAGTCCTGCATATCCGAAGATATGGCTACAGAAAATATGGAGAAAGATGAGGATATGGAGAAAGATGAGGATGTGGAAAATAAATTCCTAATTCAAATGAGCTATAAAAACGGCTTGTCTAGCTCAAACATCAGAACCTTACTAGTTGCAGTCAGCAAACGTACAACAGTATCCAAAACTGAACAGAACTTGCAAAACATTATCAATCATCGTCCAGTAGTATACAGTAAGGTGTGGCTACTTTCAGAAGCAGGTACAGTCTATGAGGAAAAGCGCAATGAGTTGCTATAAACAAATGGTAAAAAAATTGTTTTCATTCAATTCATCACAACTTACATCTGATAATCTTTAAGTAGGTATTAATTGCAAAATTTTTTTTAATAAAATATATCCATTTTTGAGTAATATGTGTGACTTTTTATTATCACAATCACAATACATTAAATAGAATTTCGTTTAAACTGGAGCTGCAACTTTTGCTTTTAAATTTAAATGAGAGTAACCTATAAGGTGTTTTTTTCACCTATTTTAAAAATTTATTTTGATAATACCTTTTAATTAAATAGTTTATTTTTCAGAAGTGGTCCTACATAACTTTAGAGAAAGAATTCCACCCTTAAGAGTGGCAAATGCCAGGAGTGATCTAAGCTGTATTTTATATCTGTAAAACTTGAACGATTTTTTTTAATGAAATTGATAAAATGATGAAATATACATACATATAGTTTTTAATTTTTATCTAACAAACAAAAGAGGATGTGATAAAGTGTAAGGACAACACTATCACAATTTTGATGCAAAACCATTTTTTAACATTTCTTTTTACTATAACACTATTTTTCAACAAAAATATAGTGTTACAGGATAAGGTATATAAAGATCTATTTATGTAAAATTAATAGACCTTCAATTTTATTTTAAACATTTTCCCATAATATCACACATAGCTTTCAAGATAGTAATAAAAAATTAGAGATTGAGAAATTTGAGATTTTTGGATAATTGAACTTGTTGAATTGAGTTCTTGCCTCAAGACCACTAATAAGGATCTGCAGAACAGGAATTCAGATCCTAGAAATCTCAATTTTGAATTCTTTTTGTTATTATTTCATGTAGTTTGATAATCTACCACTAATATACATAATTCTTGTTGATTTAAAGGTTGAAATTTAGAATCGTTTGGCAGGAATTTGCGGGAGTAAGGTGTTTTATTTGGTAGAGGTTTGCCCCAAAAGATGCCTCAAAAAAAAATCCCATAATAACCTCAAAATCATAACTTGGCAGGAATTTGGGGGAGTAAGGGTTTTATTTGGTAAAGGTTTGGTCTCCGATTATAATAATACCACTCACATTAAAAGGTAATGCACCATTATCGAAAAAATAAATAAAAACTATTACAACCTTAATACGTAAAGTATGAAAGTATGAAACATAGATTATTGACTATATATTAGAGAGTATGAAAAGTGATACACTTTTTATTATTAACTTAATTTACGGCTCTGGGCTCTAGACTTTCTGAGAAAAATTATACGATATTACTTGATTAAAGATGGATAGCATACAGAATTTTGTGTCTGTGGCGGGAGCAAAGGCAACCTGACTATAGATATCTGATCTGATCGAAGCTGTACTAAAATTAAATTAGCACGCCCCGAATCCAGGTAGACTTGTCTGCCCTACTCCTAAAGTGTTTTTGTAAAGCCGTAGGTGCGGAGGAAGAGCAGCCTCCGCCAGTCGTAGCAAATCGCAGGCACCTGTGCGAGCCGTAGTATGGTTATTATTGTATTATATATTATGTTTATAATTTAAATTAATTATAAAAGCTAATATTTTGGTGTTTTGTCGAGGGAAGGACGGTCGACGGAGCCCCGCTTCGCGGGGCTCCTACTTCTGAGTGGTTTACAAACAAATAACCACGAAGGGAATGGTGGGGTCTATTCGCTCGCTTCCCTCGCACACTCGACCCCGCCATCCCCTTCTAATCTGTCTGAGTCGGGGTGCCCTAAGTCCCGCTCGCTTTGCTCGCTCTTGCACTCAACAAAACACCGAAATAGGTTGAAATTTAGAATCGTTTGGCATGAATTTGGGGGAGTAAGGTGTTTTATTTGGTAGAGGTTTGGTGCCCGATTATAATAATACCACTCCCATTAAAAGGTAATGCACCATTCTTGAGAAAAATCAAAAAGAAAATCCCATAGAACTAACCTCAAAATCATAACTCAAAATGAATTAAGGGGATGGGAGGTGGTGGAGAGGGAGGCAGGGGTGTTGTAGAGTCGCCCCACACTTCCACATCCTGCCGGACATGCATTTCGCTCGCTCACTCGACCTCGCCATCCCCTTCTAACCTAACCTGTCCGAGTCGGGGTGCCCTAAGTCCCGCTCACTTTGCTCGCTCTTGCACTCAACAAAACACCAAAATATTAGCTTTTATAATTAATTTAAATTATAAACATAATATATAATACAATAATAACCATACTACGGCTCGCACAGGTGCCTGCGATTCGCTACAACGGGCGGAGGCTGCTCTTCCTCCGCACCTACGGCTTTACAAAAACACTTTAGGAGTAGGGCAGACAAGTCTACCTGGATTCGGGGCTTGCTAATTTAATTTTAGTACAGATTCGATCAGATCAGATATCTATAGTCAAGTTGCCTTTGCTCCCGCCACAGACACAAAATTCTGTATGCTATCCGTCTTTCACAGTAATATCGTATAATTTGTTCTCAGAAAGTCTAGAACCCAGAGCCTAAATTCAGTTAATAACAAAAAATGTATCACTTTTCATACTCTTAAAAATCATTTTCAACTTTAATACTTTACATTAAGGTTATAATAGTTTTTATTTAATTTTTCGATAACGGTGCATTACCTTTTAATGTGAGTGGTATTATTATAATCGGAGACCAAACCTCTACCAAATAAAACACCTTACTCCCCCAAATTCCTGCCAAAGTTATGATTTTGAGGTTAGTTCTATGGGATTTTCTTTTTGATTTTTCTCAAGAACGGTGCATTACCTTTTAATGGGAGTGGTATTATAATCGGGGACCAAACCTCTACCAAATAAAATACCTTACTCCCCCAATTCCTGCCAAACGATTCTAAATCCAATTTGATTTAATTAATGATTATTACTGAATTATTTAGTAACCATCACAAGATATAGGCCTTTCAAAGAATGCATCTATTAGCATGCACTATTAGAAATGACAATTGGATGACAATTGTTGCACATCAGTTCCTTCAGAACGGCTGTTTTCCCTAGCTGGAAACACATTAACAGATAGCTGTAATAGGCTAGGTCCAGTGCGCTGTCAAAATTATTATTTTTGAAGAGTTTAAGTATAGATAGCTGGAATTTATAATGTAAATCTTGTTTTATACTTTTCACAAATAATAATTTGTAGAAACTCACTGGATCCCATGATAGGAATTGTTAAAATAAATAATTTTGCATGCATACTGTGCTTTTATTTATTTTTATAAAATTACGATACAATTTTCCTAGATCGAACAAGATCAATTCAATGCAATATGATTAAGTCGTGAATCGATTCACGAGGTTACGATCCAGAAAATAGATTCAAAACCAAAAAATCGGGCATTCCTATTTGAGTACCATTTTAACAAATGTTCGGTGATTTTGCCGAATATTCGGTAAAGCTGCCGAATACCGAATATGAAATGAATATTCTGCCCATCTCTAATTTTTAAGTAGTTTAAAAGGCAGGTATTTTTAGGAAGTAATTTAGCTTCTCATCTCTCCTCTTCCTCAACTATATGCGATGGTGATTAACAGTAAAGCCCAACCCACCATTAATCCAAACAAACCTCAAGGAAAAAAGAGCTCTACTACCTCATAATTAATTTACTGAGCAATCCAAAAATTCTAACAATATAATAAAAGCAACAGAAGAGCAGAAGGTATTAAACAATTAAAGTAGGGGTAAAATAGGTATTTTTTTGAAGTAATAAGTACCTGCAATAAGGTAGAGAAAGTACTCACCAGCTATAGTAAATCTGTCCATGTAATTGATCAGATTTACAAAACACAATATCCCCACGGTCATATATTCGACGAAAGTGACTTCTGCAAGATTGTCTCTTCTTCTGGCTTGCTTTCCTTGAAGCAGTGCAGTCGCAGAATCATTATCACTGCTGTTAATTAACTGTTGATTTGATGTATTAGGGGTAATACCACTTTGGTCCATAATGTTCACACTTATATCACAAATAAGAGCCGATTAATAATTTTTCAAGTGTTCAAATGTGACCTGGTGTATGAGAATAGCCGAAATACTTTTTAGTGATAGGAAGGAAAATATATATAAAATAATAATTTTTGAAGTGCCTAATGATTATGAATAAATACAAGGCGTCGCAAATCTACTTTCATTAGGTAGTTTAGAAAATTGTAAAAGTAATAGCGACACAAATCATATAACCAACCACGAATGGCTTTCTGCTTACTGGCCACTTACTGGCTTACTGGCGGACTGACGACTGACACTGACAGAAAACACGCAAATAAAACTGACAAAACTGGAGCTGGACCATAGATATAGTCTATATCATAGACAGAATTACGTTAGTACTCATTAGTTTGTGGCAATGTCATTCTCTATTTTTCGCACACGTTAATTATTGGTCCGAGCGGCTACGTCTCTCTCTTTTTATAAAATATTTCTTAACGAAATAGGTTATAGTTTAATATTTTTTATATGAATGCTAGAGACATGTGTAGGCGTAATTGTGTATTTATGGTTTGTCTATGTGTGAGAGCTGCGAACCGGCGACATGCGTCCTGATCGTAGACAGAGAATAATCTCTGTCTACAGTCCTGATATTAAAAGACAATAGAAGGCAGTGTTGCCATATATACAGATTTCTCCGTATTTATACAGATTTTCGGTGTGTAATACAGATTTACACTGGATACAGATTTGTATACAGAGTTTTTAACTCTATTGATTGAATTATCATAATATACGACTTAAAACAGAACGAAGCAAAATATATGACATAGATACCGCGTTAAACACATCATTGCATGATTCTATTCTTTATGGTTGATTTGTTTTTTCACAACGCAATTATTATAAAATACATTGATATTGATAAAATATGTATACAGAATAATCTTTTTTACCGCCTGGAAAAAAATTGGATGTAACATGTGAACAGAGTAGATAAAAATAAAAAATAATAGCCTATGGCACTGATATTTTAACAAAAAAAAATTAATTAAATAAGTTAAATAATGAATTCTATCGAAATCCAAATAATGTCCCCCCTAGCCTGTGATCCTGCGAAGTGACAAGGTCAAAGATGATGGATGGATGGATGGAAGTAGAGTGGATATGATTTAAATTTCGATAGATTTTAATTAATTTATTTGTTTCATTCAAAAATTTTATTTTTATTTTTTATAAAATATTAGTGCCATAGGCTCCTACTCAAAATAATAAATACAGATTTTATACGGATTTTGAGTTTTTAAATAGCAACAGATTTAATACAGGTTTTAGCTGTTTCTACTACAGATAAAAGGTTCAAGGCATCTGGCAACACTGGTAGAAGGCATTTCTATTGGCTTATTTCTCGAGTACATAGTCAGTAATCTATGGGCTTATTATTTAGATTTCCGTGGTGACTCTGGTGTATATACATAGAGAAGAGTAATATATACAGAAATGTCAGAATAGAACAAATCCTCATGGTTGCACATTTCACAGGTAAATTAACAAGATGTCGTTACTGTTATGACGCCTAGCTCTATTTGGTCAAAATGTTTGTTATATACTGTCTAAATTATAGAATATTTTCAATTATTATACAATATATTGATAATTTGTATGTTTCTAGTAGATTCATTTTTAAACAAAGTATTTTACATGTAACCCTAGCGTATTGACTCAAGTATATCAAAATTTATGTCGATATTTATATTGAATATTTATTAAGAATTGATAGATTTGCTAATATAAGAAATAGAGGAATGAAATTAAATGCTCGATTTGCGTTCTAAAAACGTAATTTTATTTTGCCGTTTGTCAAACAGATTCCCTCTGGATTCTTTAGTTAGTAAAAAGGCATTAATTGAGTGGGTTGGTTGGAATCCAAAGAAGAACTTTACAATTTGCCGCAAATATTTTCTTGAAAAATATAAAAGAAAAAGCAAAATGAAAACAAATTTCATTATAATGAACTATTCCTATTAAGTTCCCATTAAGTATAATATTGTTGCAGTAAGACTTCAAAAATTTAACTTCAAAACTTTAGGTAAAAATAGAGATAGATTTTTATACATTTTAAAACTGTAGTGTATTAAAATTAAGAAATCTTAAGATTATCCTATTTTAGTAATTATAAACCCAACTATTAGCTATCTATTTATCAACCAAAATCTTTGTATTAAACCAAAGGAGACGGCATCGCAAGGCAAACGTCCATCTGTAAAAGGTACGAGAGTCCGACTCATAATCATTATATAAAACTAGTTGCTCCGCGTCGTGCGTCATTTTTTTATCAACAAATTAAATTTGAATCTTTCAAACAAAGCAAGACATTAAAAAAATATCCAGTATTACCTTTTTTACTTGACGTGGTTTCAATGATATGCGCTATGTACCTTACCGCAGTGTTTGAAAAATATTCAAATAATCGTTAAAAATGTTCAGATAATCGAATGATTTTTTATAATGTATGATTTGTTTTATTAAATTTTTATTTTTAAAATTCCTTAAATTACATGAATCATGAATAAAACAAGTTTCTTTTTTTACCTTGCAACGTAAATTTGTGTAAGTAAAAAAACTCATATACAAGGCTTCGCCGAAAAAACCACTACGTAATTTCAATCTCCCGCCATTTCGGGGGCTTACTGTGCCCAATTTTGTGATTTTGTGTTTGTATTCTTATTATGATACTCGGCTTTAACTTTTTGGACTGTTACTTCTATATTCTATCAAGCATGTGCCCATATCACAACGGATGATTGGACAAAAGCGGTACAAAATACAAAAAAATTGATTAGAGATTACTTTGCAAGAGACATTAATTTTCACTGCACTATTGATTAACAATTAATCTAAGCAACAACAACTCAACTAGATGTACCGAAAGTGATTGAATAAATTTATTTTTAATCTAGTTTCAATCTTAATTTTTTATAACTGTGCCTCTAGAAATAAGCAGTTACAACAAATACGAAGAAACTGATAAATCTCGTGTTTTAAATTATTCGTTTTTAATTTATTCTGGTATTATTCAAACCAAACTGTAAATAATTACTACTCTGAATAATCGATATCAATTTCTTTTAAGAATCGAATATTGTTCGTTTCCCGGTTAGCATGCTTAATGCAATAAGTCTGACAGCTGTCAAAATGTATTCCTTAGATTTGGTTGACTATAAAACTTTTATTTATGATTTTGGGTACCTGCCTTTACTTCTTTATTTTATTTTTTATTTCTTTTTATTTATTATAATGGACGCCACACAAAAACAAAATAATAGACTTTTTCTTCACCCTTTTTTCGGTCAATAAAAGTCATTTTGAGTCTATTTTTCCCATCAGATGCTAAACCACTTGCACATCCACGCGCAATAAAATATTTCTCCATTTTTAATGTTTCTTTTTGTTAAAAATTACAAAATTACGGAGCATGACAATTTTCTCATTAAAAATGAAATGAAAATTTGTACATTATTCAAGTAACTTCATCTACTTGTACTCATAAACAGCTAACTTCGCAGTCACTACTCACCGACGTCAGCGCTGCTATATATTCTACAATTCTCAAGGACAGGCGGGCTATACTTTAGTACGTAGTGATCGTTCTCCTGTTCTCTAACCTCATGCCCTAGTTCAAACTAATACTGTTGATATTTTTTAGAATATCGGATTTTCGATATATCGATAAATAAACTTATATATAAAACTCCAATATTGATATATTTGTAGTTGTGTGTTGCTCTGTGGCACGATTTCTGAGAGTTCTACGTTTTATATAAGTAATGCTACGGAGTGTAGAAGTAAGGAGTACCAACTTTCTATAGTAGAATAGTTGAAAAAGTGGCCATCTGTAAGCAGTAAGTAACAGTTCCAAAATTATCAAAAACTCTCTAGAACAGCGCTGGAGTAGCTACTGGGATGAAATGAACTTAGCAGTTGTCGACGGTTTGAAGTGTGCTGCTAAACTGTTCAGTAGTTCTAAAATCTAAAATAATTTTATTAAGTAAATATAACCTCGAAAAAGTCGTCTATCCCACTAATATTTTTCGGCACGTTCTTTAAAATTTAACCCGTAGCTATAGTGACGCCACCCTTATTTAACGGTTTTCTGTGGACACTTTTTAATACACAGTCTTCTCTACTTACTTCTTACCTTACTTCTACACTCCATAGGTAGTACTCTTATTAGTTTGTGTAGGTACTACTATGGAGTGTAGAGGTAAGGAGCACAGACTGTGTATTAAAAAGTGTTCGTAGAAAACCGTTAAATAAGGGTGGCACCACTATAGCTACGGGGTAAAATTTAAAGAACACGCCGAAAAATATTAGTGAGATAGACGACGTTTTCGAGGTTATATTTACTTAATAAAATTATTTTAGATTTTAGAGCTACTGAGCAGTTTAGCAGTACACTTCACACCGTCGATAACTGCTAAGTTCATCTAATTTAGCTGTTTCCTGTAGCTCTATGCTGTAGCTACTCCAGCGCTGTTGTGGAGAGTCCACAGAGAACTTTTTGTATATGGAGAGTTTTTGAACTGTTATTTATTGCTTACAGATGGACACTTTTTCAAACGTAGACAGAGAAACCTATAGACTAATGATCGGCGTGGCCTCGAGTGAGAAAGGACGATAACAAATTTTTAGGTTATACAATAATCTTTATGACTTTTAAACACATTTAGATAAAAATTTTAACTGTTCTAAGAACTGAATTTACCAAGATTCACCAATCTTAAGCTCACAAAACACTTTTTTCTCACTTAAACCAACTTGTAAACTCCTTAAATCGCTACGCTGTTAAGGTTGTTTAGCAAACTGTAGTTTGCTAAACAAAAAAAACCGGCACGGAGAAAGGGACAAACAATCACACCACTCTATCTCATTTCTATGCAAGACGTATGCATAAATCTATCTTTTTCGTGTGCGAATGCGAAAGAAGGCGTCAATTTGTCTAAAGGTTTCTCTGTCTACGTTTTCAAATCTTCTCCTATGAGATTGTTCTCCTTACTTCTACACTCCATAGGTACTACTTTTTGTATAGGTATTAGAGGTTTGCACCGGAGCGGAATTTTGGCAACCGATTGAATTCACTGGTTATTTGGCAGTTTCCGGTAAATTCGCCGGTGATCACCGGAGAATAGAGCTACTTTTTCAAATGACTTGACAACACAATTCCCTAGGAAATAAACGTACCATGTATGTTGAAATAGATTTAAACAATCTCTTTCATTCATTCAAAACTTTATTAAAAACATATATGTTTTATAGATATAATAAATTCTGAGAAGGCCTATGTTCAGCAGTGGACTTGTGAAGGGCTGTAATGATGATGAATGATGAATAAATTCTGATTTTGATTGAGAAAACAAAGCATGTCAATAGCATCATGGCGCAACATATTTTTTGTTATTAATTATGTGACCTTCTACCCGTTCCAGCATTCACAGCTAGGTATTTAATAGTGATGCAACAGACCTCTGCTTCTGCATCCGCAACTGCGGAAGTTCTGCACGCTCTTTGACATCCGTTTCTTTTATTTCTGCAACTTTTCTAACGGAAATTTGATCGGAACTTTAATGGTGACATACCTTTCCCTAAAGGTACCAACCTCAAATTGCGAATGATGTCCAAACTACATCATTATCAATGATGAATCAGCCGTAACAAATGTTACAATCCATGTTTCACCAGTAACAAGAATGACAATCTCTTTCATAGACCTAATTCACCTTCAGGAGTATGTGGTGGAAATGAAATGCACAAAAATATCGTAATCTTCTGCCGTTAGTCCGCCAATATTTAACAGTTCCTCAAAGCAGCGTCACCAGCGAGCAATTATTTACTGAAGCTATTCTTATACATGAAGAACACCGAAACAGATTTCTAAGTCATAATATATAACTTTTCGGTACTTTATTTTAAATGTTAATTTAATAAAAAAATATATTTGTCATAAATTCTACTTTTTACTTAGTATTTACAATTTCCCTTCTGCATCCGTTTCCGTTTCTGCTAAAATTTTCTTTTGACTTCTGTTTCTGTTTCTGCTTCCGTTATGACACTTCCGTTGAATCGGTAGTATTTTAAAGCTAGTTCGTCCAAAGGTTTTAAATATATATTAAATGACTTTTTTCTGGAAATTGTGTACCTGCATTATTAATATTCTTTTTTAGAAATCCTAGTAAATCCGGGCGATCTATTTCGCTTGACTTGTCTCACCTAACTTGACTATTTCTTCTGTACTTCGAAGTACGTTTCTGATCCGGAAAAATTTTGTTAATTTCTGCCTTTACAGCTTTTTTAACAGCTAATTTATTTTTAGTTGTCTAAAGCTATTCCTGAAAATGGGATGCAGTATGGTGGAAATTCGGCAAACAGTTCTAGATTCGTAACCCAATAAGCAATAGTTCGTACTTTTTTCAATGTTTGCAAAACTATTTCACCAACCGTTGTAGAGATTCTGGGGCCCGAACTATCTAGATATTAATGATTTCTTAAATTATAAATTATATATTATTAATATCTAGATATTTTCTAACAGCCCATAAATAATTGTTATTCACAGATATAGGAAAGAAGTTTGTTTTTGTTTTTTATATTTCTAGGGTATTATTAAACCGAATGTTGGGTATAGGTCTCCGCTTATCATTTGAGTTTCTTGCACAAAAACATCTAGCAAAAGCACTATATCCTTTAATATTTTTTCTTCTTCTGGGCTCATAATAGGAGGTGTTTAGGGCAGTTTATACTGTTCATTAATTTTAAAATTCTTTGGAAAGCTAGTAGCAAGTGAAATGAATCACATAAACGGACAAGAACGCTTTGAGCTAATGACAGAAATAATTAATCTCATTCGAAAGAAGCAAATTAGTAAATAGATGTGATAAATGAAGTTAAACAATCAAAAATATTGTTTAATGAAGCTTACTTTTATTTTTTGTAATGTTTATTATATTAAAAGATTATTTTAAGATGTAGTACGATCACTGGAGTTTCATCGGTTAATCACCGATTATTTCATTCGAGTACATTTACCGGTAAATCACCGGTGATCCTCCGGTAGTCGCTGCTCCGGTACAAACCCCTAATTTATGGCCCTAAACCCTTATAATTATTATTATATAGGGGTATCTGTATAGTTTTCTCATCTGGTTGGTTTCTATAAATATATAATTATAAATTAAAATGAAAAGATAATACTTATATAAGATAATAATAATAATAAATATACATAAATATCAATAAAATAAAATAAATACAAAAAATACACAAATAAATAAAGATCCAACCAGATTTCCATCTGGGCTTCCGCCCTCGGCAGAGAAGACCAAATGGCCGAGGGTTAGGAGGAAAGGGAAAGAAACCGACGGACGATACGGGCGGTATTAAAAAGGCGTAGGGAAGTGACGACCCCATCGCCCGCTGACGTAACAGTTATGTGACAAAACTGCTACGTCGGCGCAGTCAGTCAGCATCCTGCCAAGAGGTGTGAGCGCTACGCCTAGGCAAAATTGTGGGTGCAAAGGTCCGTTTGTGCATATGACCCAACCACGAAACGGTGCCGGGCTTGGGCGTCTCCCGTTATTTGGCGCCCCTAAAATGGATGATGGCACAGAAAGGAACGCGCATAGGGCCGCTGCCTGGGGGTCGCCGGGGCGCGTCTGGAGCTGGCGCTGGACGCGGCAGAATGCGGGCCGCCAGCCGAGCGCGAGGAGCTGCACGATCACCTAGCAGCCCCTCGCATCCATCATCCCCACCAGAAGGCTTGGTGTCGGCTGGGTCTTCTCGGACTCAGCAAGCGACACCCGCCGCTGGTGGAGCACGTCGCATGCGTTGGACAAAATCTATGAACGAAAACGCATTGCGGGCGTACTATAGGGCGAAAGGGGAAGAAACTGTGGGAATAGCGTATATATACCATTTATATTATTATTATATTATTAATTATAATTATTATTATTATATATTATATACTTATTATAATTATAATAGGTATAGATCACAGAACACTATTACTCCCGTAGACAGAGAAACCTATAGACTAATGATTAGCGTGGCCTCGAGTGAGAAAGGACGATAACGTAGTTTTAGGTTATACAATAATCTTTATGACTTAAACATATTTAGATAAAAAATTTTATTGTTCTAAGAACTGTACTGAACAAGATTCACTAATCTTAAGTTCACAAAACACTTTTTTCTCACTTAAAGTAACTTGTAAACTCCTTAGATCGTAGTAAGCAAGTAACGAACAAACTATCACACCGCTCTGTCTCATTTCTATACAAGGCGTATACATAAATCTATCTTTTTCGTGTGTGAATGCGAAAGAAGGCCTCAATTCGTAATCTGTCTACGATTACTCCTTACTTTCTTACTCCTATCGGAGGTATAGATTCACAGAGTTATACTTTTTTATAGGTAGTACCTGGAAATTTATTGTAAAATGTCAAAGTTACTATTTTCTATTTTTTTACTTTGTATGTATGGGACTTTAGCAAAGAAATTTAAGGATAACGAAAAACCTTCATGGGCAAAAAAAGATATTCGAGACTTCAGTGATGCTGACATGGAACGGTAATATTTTGTATTGATATGACCACGTAGATACATAATAAATTTATATTACATGCTTTCTTGTAATCTCTAGTCTTTTTGACCAATGGGAGGAAGATGAAGAGCCTCTTCCAGAAGATGAATTACCTGAACATCTTCGCAAACCGCCACCAATTGATCTGACTAAAATGGACATGTCTAATCCAGAAGCTGTGCTTCAAGCAACTAAGAAAGGGCAAACCCTTATGATGTTTGTTTCAGTAGCTAATAGTCCCCCACGTGCAAGGACTGAAGAACTTACAAAAATATGGCAAGCAAGTCTTTGGAGCAATCATATACAAGCTGAAAGGTTAGTTTCTCACATTTTTTGCAGATAACTAAAAATGTTTTTAAATTTATAAGTAGGACTCACATAACATTTTAATGTGGTATTTATTTTTAGCTATATTAGTTACATTTGGGTAAAAAATAGATTAGCATATAGATTTATTTTGATTCTTTTTCAGATACCTTATTGATGATGACAGAGCTATATTCATGTTTAAGGATGGGTCACAAGCTTGGACTGCAAAAGAGTTTCTCATAGAACAGGATGAGTTGAAAGAAGTGCAATTAGAAAGTCAAACATATCCTGGAAAGAATCCTAATGTGCGAAACAAAGCAGTACGGGATGAATTATAATATTCATTATTTTTTAGTCCTTTAAAAGTAAATTTCCTTAGTGAGATTAGATGCATTTAAATTCTTTTAAGTTTTTCTCAAATTAGTCAATTTCATAATATGGGTTTTATCTGGTTAACATAAGTGTTGTATATAATGTAACATGAGAGTATTTTAACAAGTTATGTTCCAATTTCATGAGTTGTCAGTAAATTTTGTTAGACATTATTAGGTAAGTATCCAAAAATAGTGTAGCAGTTATGGAATAACCTATCTCTCCTTGTGTGGCAACATAAAAAGCCATCTTCATATTTCATCCTATGGAAATTGTATAACTTAACTCTAAAATGATAACAATCCTACCTTTCATGAACTAATTTAGCAATAGTCTGATATGGGATAGTGACAGAGGCAAATTAATTTTCGTCAGTACCCTAGGCTAGCACTTCATGGGCGCCCTTTTAACAGCCATGTATTATAAATTATTACTACTTATTTTACATATTATCATATTTTATAATCTAGTTTTGTTGCAAAATAATTAGAAAATGTGTACCCTAAACCGGTGGGTGTGGATGAAAAATCTGATGAGAAAGTGAGGGCTATGTAGGAAGTAGGTACACTTTTTTCCATTAAGAAACTTCTGCATATGCCCCTTTGTAACCTTTTGCCCCTAAGCACTTGCCTTAAAGATAATGGAGACCAATTAAATTGCATAGTGTTATACTCGCATCCATCTTTTGTTAGTGTACACACATCTTGAAATTAACTTAAGTAAACAAAAGATCTGATCAGACGTAGTTTATCAAATTGTTATAAGATTTATACTATTACAGTTGTAGAAAATTTATCAATCATCATTACGGCGACCACTGCATCCGTCAACTTCCTGTATACTACTCTGGTAGAGCCTACAATGCTTACTGGTTTAAGTTCTATTACTAGGATGTAATTACATATACATACATAAACACTCACGCCTGTCACCCAGAGGGGTAGGCAGAGACTACAGACTTCCATTTGGCACGATCCTGACACACCTCTCTCGCCTCCTTCACATCCATACACCTACGCATACATGTTCATCGGTTAACGGTACTCCTAATTTGGCCCGTTTTCAATAAATCGCCAATTTGGTCGATAAATTTTCGTCTAGGACGTCCCTTTCCGACTCTGCCATTCACTTCTGCAACATAAATTTTCTTTGTCACTCTTTCCTCATTCATTCTTTCCACATAACCAAACCACCGAAACATTCCTTTCTTAATCCTGGTCACATCATCTTGCAAACCACACTCTTCTCTTATTACACAATTTCTTACCCTGTCATTCAGATTTAGCCCTAACATACTGTAGGATGTAATTATATTATTTATTATATATTTTTTCTATTTTTTTTATTGAGTAATTTTAATATAAGCCTAAACATTAAAGATTATTTTTATAAATTACCTTAAATCTAAGCATTGGTTATGTATAAGGGAAAATAAATGGCTTAAATGTATTTCTAATGTTTTATTAAAAAGTATTTGTAGATATTTCTTATATTTAAAATTTACACTGCAATTAAAAAGCATCAGTAGCACGGAAATGTTCTTCATCAATTGTTGAATATATGTGTCCTTCACCACACATCCACTCCAAAATATTTCTGCAGAGAAAACAATTTTATATTTAATAATGTTTTTAATAAGTATCCACTCAGTAAATTATAATATTGATAAAATTACTTACTCAAATTCCATTTGGGACATGCGATCCTTTAGTGTAGCATACATATCTTGTTTACTTATGCCTTGTTCGAGAGTTGAAGCACGAATCAAATTAAAAACCATCATTTGACGTGGATTTAATCCATTAATTGAAGTGTTATCATTCATACCAACCATTGAGTTAGCTGGTAATGTTGCAGATGATGTAGTATTAATGTTCACCTTTTCCTAAAATTTTTTAGTTTTGTTTTTATTTTAAAGAACTCAAGAACATCATTTCTTAATTAGAGATGAAACATATATCGGTTGAAATTTAGAATTGTTTAGCAGGAATTTAGGGGAGTAAGGTGTTAAATTTGGTAGAGGTTTGGTCCACGATAAACAAGGCAAGTTTCAGAAAAAGTCTTTCGCTGTACACACTACTGCTGGGTGCTGAAAGATAGATTTTGCCAAACTTTGATAAATTTGGGTATTGTGTAGCAATACCTGCCCACCAAATATAAGGGTCATGATCGTGAACAGTTTGCACAGACTTTATTTTTCGCTTCTTGCAATGCACCAAACGGCAATGTTCGGCAGAATATCCCGCTATCCGGCGATAAGACTGGCCGAATATCTGGTATCCGGCCAAACAGCTATCTGTTTCATCTCTAGTAGTAGTACTAAAAAATTAAAAATTACATAATGAAAGTACCTTCTTAGAATCTGCTTCCATTTTGAGTTTATTATTTATGCACTGTAAATAATGGAATGTAATAGCATTTACATCAGTTACAGGCATAATTTTAAAGGCCATTAACACTTTCTTGCCTTTATTAGTTTTTACATTTCCATAAATCTGAATATAATCATTCACTTGCACTTTTGGGGTGGATTTATCCTAAAAAAATTACAAAGTTGTCAATTTAATTTCTAAAAAAAAAGCTTCATAATTTATTAGTTTGAAATAATCTGTAGCTGTGCTACGAAATTTAAATATACTACAGTTATTTAGTATAGTAAGTAGGGATGGGCCGAATATGGATTTCACCGAATACGAATATTCGGCCGAATGTTCGGTAAAATTTTTACCGAACCGAATATTCGGCCGAACATTATTCGGCAGGATAACCTCGGGACCTAACCAATTTTTGTCGAAAGTTGTTACCGTAAAGCGCGCGGGATTAGCGCAGGACCCTGACTCTCGCTCCCCGCCACACCTGACAGTTATTGCATCATCTAGTACTGAGCAAATTGCCGGCATATGCTTATGTTTTGACTATTCTTGTGATAAAAAAGTATTTCGTTGTTTTATTCTTAGTTAAAGTTATAGCTTACGCTTAGCTTACGTCCCACTCCTGGGCACAGACCGCTCATTTCTGAGAGGGTTTTAGGGCAAGGAAATGGACGCCGCGTTGCCCCAATATGCTTGTTGGCGAACTTCACATGTCTTCGAAATATATTTTTTCATATTTCTCAGACAGGTTCCTCATGATGTTTTCCTTCACCGATGAGCACTTAAAATTGCAATTAACAACTTCATTGGTGCCGGCGGGGATCGATCCCGGTTTGCTTGCCGCACTGTGAAATTTACAGCGAGCGCTAACCAATTTGAGCTACCACGGCTTTTTATTCTTAGTGAAAATTGATAACTATATGATAAAAATGAGCGGCAGGAGATTTACAATTTGGACTTATTTTAGAGAAAGTAAAGAAAGTAGAAATAAATCCATAGTGCCTCAAAAACATAAATGTATAGATTTATGCATTTGAGGCAATCTAGAGTGAGTAGATTTAACCCATAAATAAAATATACTTTCAACAGTAAAAGACATCGCATTACTCGGTTCGTACATTTCAATACATTGGTGTGGACACTATGAAAACGAATGTTCGATGATTTAGCCGAATATTCGGTAAATCTGCCGAATACCGAATATAAAACGAATATTCGGGCCATCTCTAATAGTAAGTGTCGTAACTAACTAAAATTTAAGTCAACAAGTATAAAAAATTTCTTGTGATGTGATTCATAAACTTATATATTGCTGAAACAATATATCACCATAACAATGAAAAAACCAAATAAAGTTTAGTGATGTTTGTACAACAAAGTGGATGGATATAAGAGTAGAGTGAAGGCTAAAGAAAAAGGATGGACTGTGTTAGGAACTTAGTAATTATATGCATAAGAAAGGAGTAAGATGACAGCTAGGTAATATAAAGTATGCTGACTCCAAATAACTTGGAAAGATCTGCTTTTGACTGGTATATAAGTATTTCATTCCAGCCCCTAAAAAATTACAACTGATGATTTTCATATATTAAACCTATTTATAATATGAAATCTTGATCTTTTACAATTTTTCCATCAATTCAAAACTAAAAGGAAAATGGATGGTAGCTGTTCAAGGCAGAATTAGTTTCCGGTTCTAATATGACAATTTACTCAACTCAAAATAATAATGCTGTTTGCCAATCCGCCTACCTGGCATGACAACTACCACAAATATCATTTTTATGAGGCGATATATGGCAGAGGCCTATGCTCAGCTTTGCTGTAATGAATTAAATTAAAATGAATAGGTACTCAACATTATACGTAATAATATAGTGTCAATGTTTTCTAAAAATAACATATTTGCAATAAAACATGTTATCCTATTAGACTAAGAGTTTGACAGAATATGCACCTGCTGCACACTCATTCACTTATAATTCTGTCTTACCCAGATGCCTACACTACATTGTGACTAGCTGCTGTAATTGAAATTGTCTGACTGCCATCCAGTTTCTAAGTCATAATTTTTTTACTTATACTTCTTACTTCGAAGGTCAAAATTGGACAACAAATGGAATGTTGAACTTTAAAGTGTGCATTAAAAATTAATTATTAATATGTTATTTGATATAATATTCTTGAAGGAGTAGCCTCAAAATACTAACATGCAAGATTATTTAGAGTACTTACTATCCAGAATTTTCTAAAACTACATCTCTTTTTATTCTTATTAAAAATTTTATACAATAATCTTTTTTTATTAATAAAACTGAAGTAAATAATGAACTTATGGTAAAGTGAGTGAAGAAAAGAAGGCAGCAGATGCATTGTCACCTCTCGAGTACTAAAATGGAATGCCCTCACAGCCTGTGACTATATGTGCTCTCTTGACGCTACAGACTGTGACACAGTGCAAACACTGCTCCTACAACAAAAGTTAACAAGATGTACCAACCCAGACAGACAAGGGATCCTACCACCTAGTATCCAAAATACTTTGTCCTTTACATAATATAAATAAGGCAACACCAATAATGCACTTATTTATATAAAAACCCCATATTATGTCACCTTAACCTTTATGAATACATGTACACAAATCAGAAAATCTTACATCTTCCTCCATAGCTTCTTGATCCAACCAAAACACGGCACGCATCCTTCCTGTAATATCTTGAATTGTATATGTTATTTTTGTACTCTGTATGCGGACATTTCTCACTCTAGCAACAATAGATACAATCATAATTTCAGTTCCCCAAATTGTGATATCACCATCTCCGGAATGTAAGGCCTGTCTAATAACAATTGGTGCAGTACGTGAAGTTCTTCGACTCTAAAAGTAATAAAAAAAATATATATTTGGACACTTGTTGTATTGCTTTGCAATAAAATCCTGTTTGGCTATAAGTGCATTTCATCTTAGTCCTCACGGGTGACAACACATCTGCATTTCGATTCGTAATCGAGGATAGATGTAGATGTCTATGGGCCACAGCAACCACTTACCATCAGGTGGACTGTGTGCTCGATTGTCACCCTATCCTATAAAAAAAAAAAAAAAAAGTGCTCTAACCCCATCTTTCAAGGCTAAGCAAAGTAGTAGATTTGGAAAGTTGTAACAGCTTTAAGTTTGTTACTTGGTATAGCCACACTGCAGGCTATATTATGGTTATAGCAAGAATGGGTACAGCTTTGAACTAGGAATGATCATGCTTTCACAGAATACCAGCGAAAATAGTAGCTTAATGCTGCTGTGTTTTGTAATGTGAGTGTAGAGAACCAGAGCCCCTTTTTTTACTGGAAACAAGGCATTCTATCGTAGCCTTCAGGGGTGACAATGTATCTGCATTTTGTTTCTTAATCATAGGTAAATGTAGATGTCTATTCCCAACAGGTGGGGAGGACTGCTCATTTGTCACCCCCATTCTATAAAAAAGCAAAAACATTTAAGCATTGGGAAAAGTTTCATACCGTTTTTTGTGCTTGATTAGGAGTATTTGCATTTCCAAATTGATTGGTTGAATTAAAAAAGCCACCACCAACAACTGATTGATCTGTGAAATGAAATTGGTGTAATTTTACATAAAAAGAACTAAAGTACAGATTTTTTACTACATGGCACAAAACTACGTTAAGTGTTAATTACCATTCCACATTTTGTTTAGTTACGAAAACGGCTTAATTGACTAACTGAAAGGAAAACTGATGACCTTCTTAACTTCTTAGGTATTTGAAGTTTTTGCTGCTAACCAGACGTACCGCAACACAAAGAGCAGTGTTCTATGCTGTCCAAACAGAAAAGCAATATAAAGAATGGTACTGAGAAAAGAGATCAAGACAAAGCTGATAAGTTTACTAAAAAGGTAGGTACTAAACTACCTCTACACTCCATGTACTAAACGAACAAGACTGGTTGACAATTTACATCACATTCATGTATAGAATTTACAATGTTACATTGAGAAGAAAGAAAAAGTGTATATAAATCGCAACATTTACGTTAAGAAACGAAAATGACAAACAGGTAATTCAAAGCAATTACAAAATGATATCAAATGTCAAAATTTAAAATGAATTGGCGGGACGGGAGTCGGGAAGCAGATTTTTTTTGGAGTTTATGGCCTGGTATCTAGACCTTTAGGCCGTCGGGAAGCAGAGATGTCATACAGTGCTGCCAATTTAAAAATTTTATTTTCCCTAATCCCTAATGGTCAGTAGAAAATACCCTAAATTTGACCATAATTCGCTTTTATTTCCCCTTAAAAGCATAAGGACATATGAAAACAGACAAAACGTTTGGTGATATTATTTTATTTATACTTAAAATAATGAGTTCTTAAAAAGTTTTAACTACGCTATGTGGCTACGGTGGCGAGTGGCGACCATGGTAACGGCAGGGCAGGGTTTGCTTAGAATCTGCGGTGGAGGTTCGGTTGCCACCTACGACGACTCGACCTGGCAACATATAACGCACGCACCTTGAGGACTGACGAGAAAATACTGGAGCTGGAAGAAGAGGTAAACAAGTTGCGCTGGCATATTATTGGATTATCCGAGGTCCGAAGAGAGGTAGAGGACACGGTAATCCTCCAGTCCGGCAACTTGTTCTATCACCGGGAGGGCGACCATCTGTCCCAAGGAGGTGTCGGATTTATCGTCCACAAGACTCTCGTCAATAACGTTGTAAAGATTGGGAGTGTGTCGACGAGGGTCGCATACCTGATACTCAGAATCACCAAGCGGTATTCGCTGAAGGTCATTCAGATTTACGCACCAACCTCGGCACATCCCGATGAGGAGGTGGAGGAAATGTATGAGGATATTTACAGAGCCATGCATTCCTCCAAAACCCACTACACGGTGTTGATGGGAGACTGCAACCCAAAACTAGGCACAAGAGAAGGCGGTGAGCTGAAGTTAGGGAAATTGGAGTAGAGCTACGGAACCGTAGGGGCCAGCAGCTGGCCGACTTTATGGAGAAAGAGGGACTCTTTATGATGAAATCTTTCTTCCAGAAGCGGCCCCACAGGAAGTGGACCTGTTCGAGCCCCGACGGTTCGACAAAAAATGAGATTGACTTCATTATGACGACCAGACGCCAACTGTTCAGTGATGTCTCAGTGATCGCAAGGGAGAAAACTGTCCGAACGAGCGAAAATCACCGAATGGTTAGAGGCACACTGAACCTAAACGTTAAGTTGTAATTATCGGTGTGCTCTTAAATGGGAAGTAGTTGAGTCTTGTGGATACCACTGTTTTTTTCTTGGTATTACTACAGTATAATAAAAACATACAGTAGGACGACGCCTTTGATCTCGTGGTAAATGCCGACAACGTCTAGACAGCGTATGGAGGTTAGGGTTGTTACAAATTAACAACTTTTACTAATTTCATAATTTTTTTTTATATCTACGTCGTGATAAACAATATGATTACTAATATAAAGAATAAGTAATCATTTGTTCTTACATTTTTTCTGAAAGTACTCAAAACGCTAATTGCACGCCTCACAACGTGAGGGAGTGCTCTACTCTCGATATGTTCTCGTTCTTATACTCATAACTAGACATCAAATCCATATATATATATACATATATATATATTAAAATAAGACTAAGCATATATATATATATATATATATATATATATATACAATGACTACAGACATTGAATTATTGGTTTATTTTATAACTGATTCACTTTAGATTACACAACAAAAAATGTAATTAAAAAAATATATCGACTGCCGTCCGTTTGTCTATGCGTCTGTGAGTCTTCTCGCTTAATAGAAATGTAAGTGATAAATTGAGATATATAGTATTAAATAAGATTCCATATATTCTAAGGAGGGCCCTCATTGATTTTTGCTATTGAACTGAACACCTTTTAAAAGTTATTTATTTTTTTCATCAAAATTAAATGAAACGCTCATGAGGCGTGCATTTTGGAAGTTCCAATTTTTTTTGCACCCAGAAGCAATTAGAAAGGGCTACCCCGTTACGCGAGGAGGTAGTGAATGCTTTATGCAAACCAGGACAGCCGGTCTGTTGTGGTTATGTGGGACTCACTATAAACCTAATGTGACTAAACCCTAACCTAACCACTACCCTAAGTGTACCCACTAAACACCACCTGTGGGACTGGCAATTGGCGGATTAAGCCTCTTTGCCGGATCGGAAGCAACCCTCTTTTGGAAGAAGAGGGCGCAGGCGGCTACGAGCTGCTGAGGGAGAGCCTACTTAGGCAAAATTTAAGAAGAATCGGCCTGAGCCGCCAGGAGGCATAAGCACCCCAAGAAACCCCGAAATTGATACCCATATCATATCATTAAAAATGTCCGCCATCTTGGATATGAAAATGGATGCCAGTTTCGTAATAAGCACCCCAAGAAACCCCGAAATTGATACCCATATCATATTATTAAAAAAATGTCCGCCCTCTTGGATATGAAAATTGGATGCCAGTTTCGTAATAAGCACCCCAAGAAACCCCGAAATTGATACCCATATCATATCATTAAAAAAAATGTCCGCCATCTTGGATATGAAAATGGATGCCAGTTTCGTAATAAGCACCCCAAGAAACCCCGAAATTGATACCCATATCATATCATTAAAAATGTCCGCCATCTTGGATATGAAAATGGATGCCAGTTTCGTAATAAGCACCCCAAGAAACCCCGAAATTGATACCCATATCGGATTATTAAAAAAATGTCCGCCATCTTGGATATGAAAATGGATGCCGGTTTCATAATAAGCACCCCAGGAAAACCCCGAAATTGATACCCATATCATATCATAAAAATATGTCAGCCATTTCGGATATGAAAATGGATACCAGTTTCGTAATAAGCACCCGAAGAAACCCCGAAATTGATACCCATATCATATCATTAAAAAAAATGTCCGCCATCTTGGATATGAAAATGGATGCCAGTTTCGTAATAAGCACCCCAAGAAACCCCGAAATTGATACCCATAAATTTCGCCATCTTGATATGAAAATGGATGCCGGTTTCTCACTCCAACCTCGAAATTTACCATATCATATTATTCAAAAAATGTCCGCCATCTTGGATATAAAAATGGATGGCGTTTTCGTAAGCATCACCCCAATAAACCTTGAAATTGACATACATATCCTAAATATATAAAAAAATGACCGCAATCTTGGATTTAAAAATAAATGCTATTTTCGTAATTAGCACACCGACAAACTTAAAAATTTACCCCTAAATCTTAATATTTTACAAAAAAAAAACTTCGAAAGACCGAAGACAAGGCACTATAGTATGGTCTAAAACCTTAGCCTGTCCAACACACGATTTAGATGAAGAAAAATCAGTAATGCCCAGCGACTATATAGTACCTATTTTTTACGTCCGCCATTTCTTTTACGTTGGCTATTTGGCATGACATGATAAAATATACATAATGTAAAAAATAATAACAATATTTATTTACCTTTCTTAGGTGTGCGGAATTTGGTGAAATCGCAGATCGCAATGCTTGCAATCTCTCACAGCACACGTCGTATGAACCATTTTAATTATAATTATCAACACTAAATTTAAAAATTATAAAAGCAAGCGCGCGTTAACCCTGGAAGTCGTGTCCCGAGCTACTAATACGATTGGCATAAGCAGATCGGGCTCGTCCTTCCCGCGTCTCACCCCGCACACCCCGCACGATTGCCCCGTCTAGACGTCTTCGTCGGACGACTGTATGGATTTATAGACTGTGGTATTACTATTGGAGTCATGCGACTGACATTGAAGCCATATTTGTTTTAGAAAAGAGAGACGTACGTTAAATTTTTATCTTAAATTGTAAAGAAAATTTTTAAGAAATAAATATATTACCAGGCGGTCCCATAATGAACTGGCCTGATATAGTTCAACGCGACATGTCGCTACATGTTGTGTTGCATTAAATAGTACGTTTATCGTGCACTTAATATAAGAAACATGCATCGACATGAAATGCTTAGTCTTAGTTTAACAGGCATTTGAATAACGAGAGTCGGGTATTTTTTCAAAATTTCGAAAACCGAGTATCGAAGTGTCATAAAGTTTCTGTTTAAAAAAGGTTTATCCCTGCCCAAATAAAAGAACGATTGGATGGCGTGTATAAGGAGTCTGCCCCCTCCTATAGCACAGGAAAAATTGGGTGAAAGAGTTTCGCCTCGGGAGAGAAACCGTCGAAGACTTTGGCCACGACGGTCGACCTGTGGAAGTGCTCACTCCCGAAACGATTGCTCTTATCGAAGAGGAGGTTCTGAGTGACCGCCGTTTGAAGATAAAAGAAATTGCAGCAAGGCTTGGGCTCTCTAAGAGTACCGTTCATCGCGCGATCCATGAACATCTTCACATGAAAAAAGTGAGTGCAAGATGGGTACCGAAACTTCTTTCAGCGGTACAGAGACAGGAAAGAGTGCGCTGCGCTTCGGAGTTTTTGGATCTTTGTGGCGAAAATCCAAAAACTGTGATCGAGCGGCTAGTGACTGGTGATGAAACTATGATCTTGTATTATGATCCACAAAGCAAGCGCGAGTCAATGGAATGGCGTTATAAGGGTGAAAAGCCCCCTAGAAAGGCAAATGTGCAACAATCGACTAAAAAACTGATGTGCACAATATTTTGGGATTTTCAAGG